TTTTTTTATTTTCATGTGATTTCTTCGAGTATTGTAGTTCGGCTATATACTATTCTTGCTTTTCTTCAGCTTTTATTTGCTGTATGCATTCGATCCTCTTTCAGCTGTATCCTGGAATATTCATTGGACTGAAATTTTGACAATTACTATAGTTAGTTCTATGCTCATCGAGCATATTCGACAGACTAGTAACGTCATATTCAAACACAATTGTAAAAAAAATAAGACAACTTCATTTTCTAATTCTTCTTCCAAGACAATCGATCTTTGAAAGGAAAATTACTAACCTATTTTGATTTGCATAATCGATTTTCTAATTTGTGTCTGATTTTATCGGCTTATATCTTATTCTATATTGGACTGCTACTACGTTTTGTGTTAAAAGATCCGACAAACTTTTCAGCTGCAAAGTAAATTTCATTTAGTATTCATGATATTCAATTAGACTGATCGTATTAAAAAGGATTATAATGGCTTATAATCTAGAACTATGGTTCATTCGATCACTTCTTTTTATTGGCATAGCTCCGAATCTCGGTCCGAAATTAGTGATGATCCGAAAGATGGTAAATAAATAATATCAACTATAGAGGCATTAGTGATGTTTTATCTTTTAGACGAACGATTTATTGTTTTTCATATTTCTTATGATTATTGTCATTTTTGGGTATGGAATTGCATCAAGAGCCATGATAGCCTATGGTACTTTCGATTTCGATGGAAGACAATTTTTTCGCAATGTTATATATCCAGTTTATTATTTTATGCTGGGTAGTTTTGATAATGAAGTTGAATCATTTGAAGGTAAAATTTGTATCGATCAATTGGGCACTGTCTATGTGGCTGATACTTCGAATCATCGAATAATACGTTGGCCCAAAGGAGCCACACAAGGAAGTGTGATTGTTGGTGGAAATGGTGCAGGACGACAGTCAAATCAATTAACATCCCCCGTTGGTTTATCATTCGATCGACATGGTAATCTCTATGTTGTCGATTACGAAAATGATCGAGTACAAAAATTTAATATCGAACAGACAGCAAATTAATGATGTTTATTTGTTTGTTGTGTGATTGAAAATGAATTGCATTGAAGAAAAAGAAAACGATATTCGCGATTAATCAATAAATTCTATTAGATATTCGGGCGCGCGACCAGGAACCATCCTGGTGGGGGTGTTAATGTAAAGAAACGGAAGACATAAACCACACCCACAGCCACACCCTACATCCCACACCCACACTCACCACAATATGCATCCGCATACAAAGGATTAAAGGTCCAATTTTGAGCGCTTTTGGATTTTTATTAAGTAAGGGTGAACAAGCAGTTTTTAAAGGAACGATCAAGACTTTTCGATTATCCTGTAACCTGCATCTATCATGATCATCTTTTTGACCAGCTAGTTCCTCACTTGGTATTTGTTTACCTAATCTTCAATATCTTCATCTAGAATGTTCTATCAATAATCAATTTTGGCTAGGAATTTCAAATCTAAATTAACTAAAAATTCTTTCAATATCATTACATGCTGATATTTTTCAATCTCAAATGAAAAAGTTATTCAATCAAACACCTCATTTAATTACATGAGTTACATGA